TACTGGTCTGTACTGGTTCATACTGGTCTGGGACTGGTCCATACTGGTTCTAACTGGTTCTAACTGGTTTGGCAGGCTCGCGGCTGGGCGCCGTGCTGGACATTGTGGTGCTCAATACTGGCATTACACTGGTTTATACTGGCCCATACTGGTCTGTACTGGTCTGTACTGGTTCTAACTGGTTCTAACTGGTCTGTACTCGTTCTAACTGGTTTATACTGGTTCTAACTGGTTTGGCAGGCTCGCGGCTGGGCGCCATGCTGGACATTGTGGTGCCCAGAATTGACATTACAATGGTTTCAATTGCTCCATACTGGTTCATACTGGTCCGTACTGGTCTGTACCGGTTCTAACTGGTTCTAACTGGTCTGTACTGGTTCTAACTGGTTCTAACTGGTCCGTACTGGTCCGGCAGGCTCGCGGCTGGGCGCCATGCTGGACATTGTGGTGCCCAAAACCAGCATTATACTGGTCTGTACTGGTCCATACTGGCCCATATTGTTCTGTACCGGTCTGTACTGGTCTGTAGTGCTTTGGGACTGGTCCATACTGGTCCATACTGGTCTATACTGGTCTATACTGGTCAGTCGTCTCAATCCATGTCACCCAGGGAGCCATTTTGGTGCCATTTGGGGACATTTTGGTGCCCAATACTGCCATTACAATGGTTCATACTGGTTCATACTGGTCTGTACTGGTTCATACTGGTCTGGGACTGGTCCATACTGGTTCTAACTGGTTCTAACTGGTTTGGCAGGCTCGCGGCTGGGCGCCGTGCTGGACATTGTGGTGCCCAATACTGGCATTATACTGGTCTATACTGGCCCATACTGGTCTGTACTGGTCTGTACTGGTTCTAACTGGTTCTAACTGGTCTGTACTCGTTCTAACTGGTTTATACTGGTTCTAACTGGTTTGGCAGGCTCGCGGCTGGGCGCCATGCTGGACATTGTGGTGCCCAGAATTGACATTATACTGGTCTGTACTGGCCCATACTGGTCTGTACTGGTCC